CGGAGAGGATAAATTAATTAAGTCCGTCGGAAGATTATTCTGACGGGCACCGGCAGTTATTTCCTTAGATGGACTATGAAGACGCTTACGTTTAGACACACGGATATCCTTAACAGATTGCAAGGTATCTAAGCATTTGAATGATTTAAACATATTTTCATAATGCTTAAATTTTTCTGTCAGTACCGACATTTCTATTCCTATTTCTGTAAAACCATTTCTGGTTTGCCTAAATAGCTTGAAAAGATCAACTTCGGTTGACCTGCACTTTACGCAAGACCAGCGAAGGCCCTTGCCATCATTAATAGCGTCCAGAAGTCTTCCTGTCAAACCAGCACATTTCAGATGGTAAATACCATCACACAGCCAGCATGATAAGTAGCGTTCAGAATCGCTTATATATATAATGTATAACAAAGTCTGCTTCCGCTTCTAATAACAACGAGCCTGGAGTATCTTCCCCTTCTAACGCTTACTCTACCCTCAGTTAGTAACTCAGTTACTCAACCCCTTCCGCTGGTAATCGAGTCCAATACTAGGAGACTGGTTGTGGTTCCCCAAAGAAGTATATATGTATTTGTCTCTAGATTTTCAAGGGATACTTCCGAAGACGATATAAAGTTTTACATCTCGTCCAAATTTAAAACTATCAACTTAAGTATCCGAAAATTTAATTCTAAATATGAAAGAAATATTTCTTCATTTAAAATTGACGTAAATTTAGAAATTTTTGACATGCTGCTTAGTAATTATTTTTGGCCTACCGGAGCTTTCGTTCGTGAATTCGAGTATAGGCCCAAAAAAAAAATAATAACTTAGCAAATATTCCCCGTCAGAATACTGAATCAAAAAAACTGATACTAAAACTGCTTTAAGTATTTATTATCAAAACGGAAGAGGCTTAAATACTAAACTAACGAACTTATATCTTAATGGCCTTGTATGCAATTATAATTTCTTTCGCTGAAACTTGGCTCAAACCTCGCATTTTTAATTCAGAGATTCTTTCAAATAACTATCATATCTACATAAAAGATCGGGAGGACAGAATCGGCGGTGGCGTACTCTTTGCCGTATACTATTCAATACCATCTGAAGAAGTTAGTATTCCACACAATGAATCTGCAGAATTCAAATGCATTCGCATACAGATTGGAAGGGGGTTTACTTACTTAGCTCTATGCTATGTTCCTCCCCGATCTGACTCATCACTGTATTCACAACATGTCTCTGTACTGAAATCAATTAATTCAATGATTAAACTCTCTGATTCATTGATTGTGTTGGGTGACTTTAATTTACCAAATGCATCATGGAACATCATTGACAATGATATCGTACCTCTCTCGTCTAGTGCGTGCAACAACGTATTTTTAGAGGCGATGGCTGAACTCTGCCTAAATCATTTTAATGTACTTCGCAATAAGTTTGCCAAAGTATTAGATCTTGTTTATGATGATGATGCATCTAAGTCCGCTGTAAATAAATGTGACCAACTAGTTTTTCCCGAAGATGTCTACCACCCTGCTATAGAGATATCTCACGAAATTATAAACGATGGTCAAAATCGCTGTATCCAAACATACGAACCAAATATTCGCTTTGATTTTTCAAAAGCCAACTTTAAAAAACTGATTAAAGAATTTTCTAAATTGTCGTGGCCTATATACAAAGAAGAGGTTGAGCAAAGCGTTGCACATTTAGTTTTACTTTACATCAATTATTTGAAAAGTATATGCCTAAACGCATGTGTGTTCCTGAAGAATAAACACAGTTATGGTTCACTAAAGAACTGAGAAATTTGAAAAACAGTAAGTCGCGTTATTTTAGATTACACAAAAAACCCGGCTTACACTCATACTATGTAAAATACTCACTATTGCGTCACAAGTGTTTTGAATTAAACAAAAAGTTTTATAAAGCTTACTTGTGTAAAATCAAACGACGTATAATGTATAACCCCAAATCATTTTATGGTTTCGTAAACTCCAAGCGAAATTTACGTGGGCTTCCTTCCCAACTTCAACTTCAACAAATTTACTTGAGTTTACAACCTATATCTCAAAAGCGTTTAGTGAAAACAAAAATGTGGATGTTATATATACCGACTTCAGTAAAGCATTTGACAAAGTATGTCACTCGTTGTTCATCTATAAACTTGATCTTCTTGGTCTTCAACCTAATTTTCTACGTTGGATCTCTTCATAGCTCTATGATAGATCACAAAGGGTTATGTTTAAAAATACTATTTCTGACGTCATTGATGTTACTTCAGAACACCCGATTCTGTTCTTGCTTTTTATAAACGATATTTTTATAGACATAAATTTTCAAACATTTTAGGGCCTTATTCTGTATCACGAACGATAGGCAAAACGAACGATTCGTCTGCAGACGACAACCTCTCTGATTGAGATTTTAAACTCTATCGGTCGTCTTCGTCTTGCTTTTCATACATTACGTTGCAATGGTCTCGGTTGCGTTTAAACCGGCTAAAATGATATGATCGTGATACAGAATAAGGCTGTTAATGTACGCAGATGATTTGAAACTTAATAAATCGTACGTATCAATTAAAGGCCTGCAAATGTTGAACTATAAAACATAGCGACATGTGTCACATCATGCAAGTGTCAGTTCATATTATGTCGCTCATACATGTTTCACAATAAGATTTGAAGACACTGTCGAATAATTGAAATCAAATCACGCATCAAATCTATGCATGTCAACACAAGCAACATATGCGACATAGGCAGCATTATTAATTACANCCTGTAACCGTCATGGGTCCTACGTGATCGATGTGGTATGTTCCGATTGGATGGTCTTCCTTATCAATAGGTGATAAGAAGCCTTCCTTCTTGCCGCTTTTAGCGTTTATTACTAAACACTCTATGCAATTCTTAACAATTTTCCCTGCTTTTGATTCTAACTCTGGGACATAGTACTCTTTCTCTACACAGTATGTCAGTATGTCAGTAGAACAAATTTACATAAATATGTATAAGCACACTATTTAGTTTGCTCGATTTGTAAACAAAGCTTCTCAGCGGTGAAAAATATACTATTGTGAACAACCTAAACGAGCGAAATTCACAATAGCGCTATTCTTCATCGAATGAGCGCCATAATACCAAATGAAAATTCGTTCGCTCAGCACTTTCGACCACAGTCGAAAATCGAATGCAACTCATAATAGGGGCCTATATTTGAGATGGAATGACATGGCATAATTTGAAATTTTTGAAAGACATTTTTACAGAAAATGTTGAATTTAGCAGTTCTTTAGTATCAATCAAAGAAAAGCATTTGCCACAAGCAGACTTAAAGAGCATGGCTAACTGGTGCTATGTAAATCGTATGCCTCTAAATCTGGAAAATATATAAACAAAGCGTGTTTCAATGTTAAATTCTACATATATGTAGTAAGCTACACTTGACTTAATGTTGTTATTAAAATAAACGCACTATCATTGAATTAGGGCTGTAAAATCCCTTCCTATTGAAAAACATGTGCTCATCTGAAGTAGGCTTCTGTAGTCCAAAGTGCGTTCCGTCAACACATCCGACAACTGTGAAAAAAATACGTTCAATAATCCATAAAACAGTTGTAGCTGTAATTTTTCATACCGCCAGGAATTTTGTATTTGCTCAAGAATGTATCAATGCATTCTTCCGAGTTTTCCGGGACAAATTTTATGAATTTCGGACAAAGCTTATTTTCCACTTCTTGAAGAACATATTTTATCGTCTTGCTCATTGTACTCTGAGCCATTCCTATTAGGTAATCCTGACCGATTACGTGCTGAAAACTTCCACTTCCCAAAAGCGATAACGTAGCAGCTAATTGCAAGACGGAGGGTACTGATGTGGACATATGCCCCTCAAACTCAAGCTCCGAAAGCACGTACTCGAACGCAGGTTTTGACAGTCGGAAACGTTTTTTGAATCTGCAAATAAAGAACTTTAACGTATGAAACAAATACCTACTAGAAAGGTTAGAATCATTAAAACTTACGCTGCTGCTGGTAAACTTAAGGGATTGCTTTTGTCACGTAATCCTCTCCGTATCTGCACTTGACTGACGTCATTATCAGAATCAGACGAGCTCGAATAAAAAAATACTGAAATATTCATTTTATAATAACTGATATGTATATATTTTATTTCTTGTTTACGTTTGAGAAATGGTTAAAGATGATACATTTACTAATTGGCAACCGATTAATAATCGAAGAAATTTCGCTAGCTTGCGAATCGAGTGCCATGATTTGCCTATTCGATTCGAATCGAAATTTTACTCTACTCGACCGGTTACTCGTTCACGAGAGCCGTGATTCGGCCCCAGGGTTGCCTTGTGCTCTTTTTTCACAAAAAACTTTAGAAACCCGTAGTAGAAAGCGTAGCAATTTCTTAAGAACTGCGTAGCTGCCTCAAGAAAATTTTACACAAGAAAATTTCTTAGCCATTTCTTGTACGTCATTTTATATGGAGTTTTTGCTTTTCTTGAGAGCTGCATACAGGCATATATAAGGAAACTCCTCCGAGAGATGCATTCAACATACCTGCACATTGGCGATACCTGTCTTAAAAATTGTGCAACTATCAATTATGAAAGAAAGTATTACGTTTACCTGCACTGGCCCTACAATTACCTAATTTTACAATCTTTTATTTATTTTGCTCATCTCGCAGAACAACGAAAATGCTATCAATTAATGTAGTGATATAGATGCTTTGATACACACGGTAACAATTTCGCTTGCAGTAATTTCTACGTGGTAAGTTTTCCTACATTATTTGGTTCCATAGGGATTCGGATACCTTCCTCATTGAAGTAGTAAAGAAAATTCGCTTAAGTGCTTTTTTCGGTTAAGTGCACAAGTCTTTCGTGCAAAGAAGGATGGGCAGTTAAGCAAAATATACTGTAAATCAGTGGTGCACAGCATTGGCAGAGCTCCCAACACAAGCGCAATTTCTTTGTATCTGTATGTGTGCACGGTGGAGAGAATACAGAGGTGGCGCCGATGACGATACCGCTACTCGGCTCTCAGTGATTTTGACAGAATCAGCTGTTTTTGGTGACGTTATAGTAGAGAAGACAGCAGTAGTGATGTGCTGAGTCAATACTTTTAAGTACCCAATACTCTCGATACTCGGTACCGAAACATTTAGGTTTCGAATAAAAGCGCACATAGGCCAAAAATATGGAAAAAACGCCTAACAAAATCCGAATGTAAGAGCCAATAGAGCTTTTTTACTGATTCATATGAAAGATGTATATATGTCGGTTCGATGCCACAATACAGAGAAACCCTTACTTGTTTGAAGCATTTTTGTTCCAGCTGAATCGGACGATATCATTTTTGTAGGCCTGGGATAGATTCTGTAACCAGTTAACGACAATTTTCGAATCGGTATCGTTTTTGTCGACGTTTGATATCAAATATTTCTAAGTCAACAAGTGCGATATCGATCCGAAACTTGTCGCTAACTGGCTACAGAATCTCTCCCCTGAAAGGCTTCTTCATCCGTCAAAGTATTTTTCTTGAACCTTGGATCTACTAAGGTTAAAACTGATAAAATAATATTTTTCTGTGGCGATAAGTTCAAGTGTTTTAGCCGATATCATATAAATTAGTAATGAAAGTCTTTTCTAAACCTGAAATGCATATAATGGCGAGGGTTTAATGTAAATAATCGGTATCGGATACCGAAATCTTTTTTAAGTATTGGGGACAATTCAGCACATCACTAGTCGCCCTCATTCTCGCCGCTCTCAGTTGTCAACTCTACGATGACGTCACGCTAAAATTACTCTCACGAATTCTGCTGCAATCGGCGCAATCTTGTATTCTATCATTCTTGGTATGTGTGTACTCAGCAAAAACAGCTCGCGCATGTGATGCTTACAGCATGAAGTACAAACGCAAACTGAGCGGCTGCTACGGCGCATAAGTTCGGTAGCTGCGCACACACGACTTGTATGTGAAAGCCGAGTAGCTGCCGGAGACACCCGTGTGCACCACTGATCAGTGATCGGACTTCTACCACATTGTGGTAGATCTGCCACTTTTCTGAGCATCTACCACACAAGGTCTGAAATCTACCACATATTCGCGTTTTTGAGTAGTTTTATTTTTTCTCGACATAATTTTCTTAATTTTAAGAGCAAAAATTGTCCAACACTAAACACTAACAACAAGCAGAATGGGAGGACAAAATAAACCGTAAAATAGTAAGTTTTCTGAATATTCAATTTTTCGATAGGAAACATGGTTTTATTGTGTTAAATTGCAAAATATATGATTTATAAAAAATAATTAATAGCGAAAATGTTAAAAACCCCCAATTAATTGAAAGTACTAGACAATTTCAGTGCATCTAAAGTTTCTAAAGCGTTGTTTACTTTTACTTGAGAATTGTCAAAATCGGCAAATCCCAAGTAGCGGTTTCTGGAACGTGTTCGCCACATCGTGATGTGATAAAAAGAAAAGCTGGCAGCACTTCGCAAGGTTGCAGAAATATTTCAAAATATGTTCGAAAAATATCTTGATATGGAGGGAACTGCTTTACGCTGTCAAGAAAAAAAATTGCCAAAACTCAACGGAATTTTTAGCAACTTCAACCTTGCACTTTATTGTACTAAAATTATTTTTTTTTTTAGATTCTAATTAAATTGTTTGCAGTTTAGGTAAAACCTTGAAGAATATTTTTCATTTTGGTACAAAGTTCGATCCAAAACCTGAGATCTACCACATTTTTTTCCAGATTCTACCACACAAATATTTTCGAGTCCGATCACTGCCACTGATATAAATATATGAATATTATATTAGGTCAGCATTTAATAATAATAATGATAATAATCCGCCCATACGCCATGCTGGAATGAGAGTTAAAATCCTGGCATAAGCAACGGAGTGGCTCGTGTAATTCAATATTTGTTTTACAAGTTTTCAAAAATAGGGGATAAAAGTGTCTTGATACACGGGAGGGAACATTAAGGCTAACTTCACCCAGAAGAAGCGGACTTGAAGTTGAGCCTGCCAGTAATTTAACCATAATAAAATTATAGTTTAAAAAACTAAAACCTCCCTATTATAATTGCCATTCGTACTGTCATCAGGTATGTAACTTGAGAATAGAAATCGCTGCATCTTTTAGGCGCATCAATATTACATAGTTACATCCCGAGTTAATAAAAGGAAGGTAAAAATTGTACCACTCATTTCCCTGCGACTGACAAATGTAGGAAGATTAATAAGTTTTAATCGGCTCGTATGAAAGCTCAGTTAGTCTAGACTTAACTTAATCATCAATGATTACTCAACACGTCAACTTAAGCCAAGAGCGGAAATATTTTGTTTTTGTATTTTCTCTTTCAGCTGTTTAACAATTCGCCGCCTAAAATGCCACATCAAAAAAATCATGCAAACAAAAATGTTTGCTTTCATGTATTTTTAAGAAATACAAAAACCAGAGTCTGGCAAGCCTGATTCTCCCACCACTCTCAATTTCGGTAAGGCCGTAACTTAAGAACCTAAAATCTACAGGTTTTTAAGTTTCTTACGGTAAGTTAAGTTTTAACTAACCGCCAGCACAGTTTCTCATATAACAGGTTGGCCAAAATATTAAGTTAAGTTAAGTTACGGAAGTTAAGTCTATACTAACTGAGCTTTAAGGCGGAAGGTTATATTGAGAATCCCAACGGAAATTTCTTAAAGTAAAAAGTAGGAATTGTTTTTGAATTGATTATATCTTGTCTGAGTAAATTTGATGCCTTGGATTCCAAACCACCGAACCGTATTCCAGAATCGGTCTACCTAATAAAAAAACGGGGTTTTAGTGATATAAGGGTCACTAAATTCTTTTGACCATCGTTTCACAAATGCAAGTGAAGATTAAAATTAAGTTTCGGATCCATTGTGATGCCAAGGTCCACAAAATTGTATACCTGTTCCAAATTATGGTTATCTATTGTATAAGAAAGTGGCTGAACAGCTCTTCGCGAGAAGCACATTACTTTAAATT